TATTCAGCTTCCATTCTACCCTTCATCATGTTCCATCATAGACAATTAGCTAACACTTTGGTTTTAATAAAGGCAAATAGGCTGCTAAATTTGAAAGGGAATTTTTGCTTTGCAAGGGAATTTTCCCTTAGCTTAGTGAATGCGGTGAAAATTCCCTTTGCAAAAAATACCCATGAGCAAGGCAGATTTAAAAAACTGTATTTTTGCTTGCACATGATTGGAAGTCGCAAGTCAGCAGAGCTTCACCTCTTTCACCAAGTTAACAGCCTATTTGCCTAAGATGTGCCAGAAATCAACCTCTTTGTCTCCACCATGATCAATTTAATGAGATAGCACAATTGACCAAATGTGTGTCCAGCTAAAATATTATCTAAATGCTTAGTAATGCATACCAGTGTGTTGAATCACTCAGAGACCAAAAACATTCATCAACGGGTACACATTTGCTATCTTGTTAATTTTTCACTCTTGTCCACATCACTGTTTAACCTTAAAATCATTGCAGAACAATCTCAATTTATGGTGTATACTGTACTGAAATATAAAGCTGGAATCTTTGGATAATCCATTAGGGAAAATAAATTCATGACTTAACATGGACCTTGTACACAATGCATGATCCACTTATTTAGCAAGGGTTCCCTTCCCCATCTTAAACTGCTGCAAAAAACATGTTGGGGTGAAAAAGTAGTTACGAGACTTACCTTTCCCCCATCTTCAGTACTCCATAATACCACACTGCAAGGGATGAAGTCACCTTCCTTCTGACTGATCCTGGAGAATGCCATGTATCCCAATTCTAGAGAACTACTGCACAGTGCAGTAGTGTCTTCTCATGAGATTTGGGCTACTCTACATTCTCTGGGATGTTGTTGGAGGAATGGTGATTTCATCTATTTTTGCAGTGTTTTGATATGTGGGAGTGGTGCCTCATTAAAAGAGAACTATGTAGTGATGTTTTTTTCCCATAGTTCTCTTTTAGTAGTATATGTCCTCCTGTGACCCAAAACTCAGCTATATGCTGAGAGTGCCACAGCCGGGAAGAATCCCGACAATCCCTCCTGTCAGCTCTGTAGGATTGGAGAGGGGAGGGGGAATCCCTGCGTGGAGCGGTGACTGATAGTCACTGCTCTCTGCAGGGAAATGATTGGGAAGTGAGCAGATTGACAGTATGTGTTCGCTCACTTCCCGATCAATAGAGCCCACCAGTGACAGTTTCAATGTCACATGTCGGCTTTAACTATGGGGATGAGTGTAATTCACTCACCTCATAGTTCTCCTTTAAATAAGTGGATCTTGTAATGCTAATGCAAGGTCTGCTTTACCTACAGTAAAATTTCAATCTGACATAATGGACACAGGCTTTTTTACTGTTAAATATACAGTGATATATCTATTATACAATTCAATACAACAACTTTCTGGATTCCTAGTGTTCTTTGTAATACTTTCCCTGCTGCTTGATGTGATGTAATCTTAATTCCTCAAGATTAAATATCCCATCATGCATTGCTTACAGCAAGCGATGATAATGTTACATTGTTCAGACGTTGAGTTGTAGTTCAGATAGCAGACTTTGTGGGAGTGGTGACACAAGAAGTACTTATTCACAGGGCTGAGTGAAATTGTGTCAGTGCATTGAGGCAGTACATCCTATTGGCATCTTCAATGAGTTTACAAACTTCTAGATTCGTATGGCTATGAGTGGGATAGAATTCAATCTAGAACCACATATTTATCTTAGTTTTTGACCATAGATACCCTTTAAATGCTATTTACAGTGGGGCAAAAAAGTATTTAGTCAGCCAGGTGCCATTGATTATAAAACAAGAAAAACCTGCGCTTCTGGACCCAAACAAAAAACCGGAATAGCCAGAAGCTGCTATAACTTAGTCAGTGAGCCTCAAAGGGATAGTGAATTTATAGTGTAGCGCTAAAGGCTTTGTAGTGTATAAGACCAAATAAATGTGTAAGGTGAAATATATCTCTTATAAATATGTGTCAGTAAATAAATATACTCCAACACATAAAAGTAATTTAACAACTTAGTGAGTGAAAACAGCTGAAAAAAGCTGAAAAAAAGCTGAACAAGCTGAAAAAAGTCTTCAAACCAAGAGTACTGCTTATATCAGTGAAAAATACAAACAAGAAACCATCTCAACAAAGAAAAATAAAGATTTGCAATATTGTGTCCAAATTACTTAAGTGAAACAAATCTGTGATTATTGTGTCCAAATAGTCGTGATTATTCAAAACAAATATGTTTTTAAACTTTGACAAATATTGTGACTAATAGTTATTGACTTCTTGATAAAAAGAAGCCAGAGGACTGGATGGTGAACAGCTGCCGTTATCCCAGCATCACATTCAACCCGTATAACCTTAAAAACTGAAGTAGGAGACGGACACAGGTTTTCCACACACCTCGGGAAAGACGAAGATACATCATTATGTAACCAAACTGTATTGGCCTCCCTATGCTACTGGGTCTCATAACAGTCACGTGGTCTGCTTTGACTGCATTTCTGCTCTTTATGCTGCTCTTCTATAGGATAAAACAGGATTGCCTTGCTGTCCACACAGCCTCCACTGCTTACTTCTGTGCTTTAATGTTTCTACTTAATATCATCTACTGTAAACACAAAGCTATACACGGTCCAAGATTCAGCATGGCCTTGCACTGTCTAATGGGATTTGTAATTTCACCACAGCTGGAGTGCCAATGTTTCCTACTCTTGGTGTATCTTCAGCAATCCAGGGCATGCCATAAAAGATTCCTTAAGCCAGATCATACACAATAACACCATACTACTTTGAGAAGATGTGAGATTACAATTTTATTACACTCAGTAAATCAATAATAAAAGTTTTTAAACCACCAGACTAAATTTAAAATCTTGGGCCGCCAAAGTTACCTAAGAAAGCGATCCCTTTCAGAGCTGCAGTGTCGGTACACCCCTGCATCCAGCGATTCCATCTTCTTCCGGTTTTCTTTCGGGTTTGGAATTTTTGGCCTTTTAAATGGCTTGGCCCGAAAAAGGGTCCTGACTCCGGCACAGGAGTTACTTCTCCTAGGCACAGAATCATTTATATTATTATTATACAGGAATTATTATTATTATTATAAAGCACAGTGCTTTACAACACATGGGGAGACAGTATAGTTGCAATACAAAAGGATTAGAGGACCCAGCTTGTAAATCATGCCAGAAAAAAGTGCTGACAGGCAGGTGGAAGCATTTGTGACATTAGAAACCTTACCATTCTTTTTTTAAAGGCTTTACTTTTAATTTAGGTCTTTTCCAGTAATTGACAGTTTATCCAGTAATTGACAGTAATATCAGCGAATTGATGAAGACAAAACACTATGTAACAAAGATGAGAAATGGTTGGCTGGGAAGCACATATATAAAGCAATACAAATATAGATTATATTATCAGTGCTCAATACTTGATTTGAAGAAATCCATAACCAAGAAAAGAGTATTTGTACACACAGCTTTTTATTATATAAAGTAGCAAGTTTTCACTGTTAATGAATCAATTCCACGTTGGCATATTGACGTATGACAGTTCCCCGCTTTGGAACTTTCTGCTTTGCTGGCAGAGATATATACATAAATCAAGGGGCAGCCACTGTTTTTTTTCTGCTCTTACTTAGCAATAGAAGCAAGAAGTTAATATTAAAGTTCATTATTTACCCCTTTGCTGCCAGAGCTGTTTTTGCAATTTCATTTGTTTATCACACATGTTAAAATGCACATTTTAGGGCCGGAAATTGCCTAAAGCTTCCCAAATTATGTATGTTATGAAAGGAAAGACCCTACAAAAAAAAATTCTAAAAAACCCCCATGCTCTAAATAAAGAGGAAAAAAAGTAGATTTAAAAAAAACAAATTTGCTTAATGAGGGAAATTGAGAATTTCTACTTTCTACAACATGCCATCCCTAGTCAGATGGTGCTACATTTTCTAAATGGCTACAGTTGAGCTTTAAAAGAAAAAAGTAATCTTTGCCACTACTGATATAAACAAAATTCCCCACAAAATATTTTACAGCAATACCTGTTTGATGCCCCCCCATGGCACATGTCTTAATGGATTGAGAGGTCTGTATGTATATTAATTAACAGATAACAGGATAACATTTTCCCTACCTGGATATATGTGTTATACTGTTATTAAAAAGTATTTATTGTTGGGTTCACTCTGACCACCCTTGCAATGGGGCTACTCATGAACTGCAGGGGTTAAGTGTTAATTTTGTCTAAGGAGCTACACTAACAAAGTATAAAATTATACTCACCCAAACCGCAATCCTAGCTGACTCCCAGACTAGTCCCTTCATCCTTTTTCCTCCTCCGCTTCAGCGATGCTATGTCTCTCAGCGTCCTCACATTCTATACACTGTATTGGACGTGATGACTCAATAGACCTTAGACCACTGGAGGGGAGGGTCTAGACGATTTTAGCTTTCTATGCAAAATGAGCACTTAATCCTTGCAGTGTAGGGGTAGTCCCACTGCAAGGGTTAAGAATTGATTTGCCTGGAGCTTTGCTTCAAAGCAAACTACAAGATCCAGTCATATATATGCAAATGCCAGAGCTACATGTGTCTGCTTTGTTTCTGGAAGCATGATTTAGAAGAAAAGTCAACCTGCATGGGTTTTTAGGCCTAGAGGAGAAATTGAAGCCTGTCTTGGACAACCTCCTGCCTCTTTTTGCTCTGGACAGAATTAGCCTTTAAACACAATGCAGCAAGAAAATGCAATGCAGCACTAAACCTTACCACATCAACAATTACAAGGTTATCTTCAGCTGCTGGAAGCTTTGAAGGCTGTACATATATTTCTGAAGTTCACAATGAATAGAAAAAAGTAAGGATAATACATATACTGTTATTATAAAGGTTTATTAGTCATTTTTATGCTGACTGTATTTCTCGCTGGAAATATGGATAACCCTATCTGTGCAAACTACCATACTGTATTTATTATGTTGTTTACTCTTTTGGAAAGTGTACATTTTTCTTTTCTTTGAGCTTAATAAATAGGACAGTTGGAGTTCTTGGCTTCCCTTTGTTGATGCCTCCTGTACAATATAGGAATATGGTGACAAACACTTGTTTTAGTTTTGGGCTGCCAAAAATCAGGACAATTGACTGTGCTGGTGAATAACCATAGATGACCACTAAACAGGCACAGAATTCTGGGCTGCTCTGAGGAAACACCTCTATAAATACCAGGATCTCAGCTACATAAAACGATATATACAGAATGAGAAGACAGCTTATTGTCCTGGCTGCACGGACCCGTCCTTCTGCCCGGGCACTCATCTCTCCCTTTGCATTTCTGTCTGACTTGTGAGTTTTGGTAACAAGTGACTTGATGATCAATCCATTAGCAACTCCCACTAGAACCAATGGTAGGGAACAGCTGACAAGGTTACTGGGCAGTAGGTAAGCAGTGCTCAGTTTTGGGTATGATGCTTCCTCACTCTCATTATTTGATATATTTAATTCCAGAGGATCTCTGTAGATGTTCCAGGCTGCAGGGAGGCCAGTAGCCAATGATATAAATAATGAAGCCATTATGAGTGGCGGGATCAGTTGGGAACCTGCAAGCTTTAGTCGGATTAAAACGGGATGAGTGGATATGACAATCTGCAAGTAATAATTGATGGAAAGGCAAACTGTAAACCAGAAGCTGGAATAAATTGGTAGAATGAGAAAGACAACAGATACTGTATAGACTTCATCAGTGAAGTACACATCACTCTCAATGAAACTCATATAATCATTGATTAACATAGTAAACTGAAATATAATGTTGGATATGCAGAGAGTCACCACAATTAGGTCAGAGGGGCTAAAATGTTTTCCCTTGGCTTTATCGATAAGGTTCACAACAATGATGAGTGAGTTTGTGAAAACTGCAATGAGGGTGCTGAGAGCCAGGACAGTCATTAAAGCCAAAATAAATACAGGGAGCATCAGTTATATTGAGAAAAGACTGAATAAATTGTAGAACAAACTTCGCGGTGTCAGTCAGTGGTTTCCTGATTCACCTGTCAAAATGAATCCTGTACCATTTATACCTGGTAAAGAGAAAATATTGATGAATGATAAAAGACCATTTAGACAAGCTTTATTTGCTATAATGTCTTATTATATTTCTATATTCTCACATCTACCCGTTTGGAGATTATGGGCTCTTATATGCATGTTACTAGTTTTTCTTTAAAAGTAAGACCTCCCCCACACATAGGTGATTTAGTACTAATTGAATTGAAAACTATATTCTTATTATACAGGATTTATATAGCGCCAACAGTTTGCGTAGCGCTGTGCTGTACAATATAAGGAGGACATTACAGGGACAATATATAGATAATATTGTTAGTAATAGTGGATTACCTTAATCGTCTATATTTCTCATATACCATATAGCATAAATATACAGCATATACAGTATATATTGTGGCACTGCATGGCAATGCTGCGGCGTAGTATGGCAACATTGGCACCCAGGACTCTCAGCCAAAGGGGCTGAGAGGGTCCAAAATGTAAACACTGTTTTAAGGAAGAGCCTGGCTTTTCAGGCCCTTCCAGGTTTTCCTAAATGTAGCTGGAATCTGGAGCTCTGGAAATCTCTTAGAGCTCTGGATGGGATGAGATCTCCAGTCCTGGGGCCAGGTGTTACCAATGACAAGCTTGGGCTGATCAAATGGCTGAGAGCAGCCTTATTAGAAGCCAGCCCAGTGCTCGGAGAGGGAGTTGTGTGTGTGCAGGAGGCACACGGACACACGCAGACTCGGGTGCGTGCTGGACGCACAAGGAACAGCCGGGAGAGGTCAGGAAGGTCGGTGACCCAAGGGACCAGTTGGCCACCGTTAGAGAGTCCGTGATCCACTGCTGGGAGAGCAGTGTGAGTATCACACTGAGGTGTGCTGAGAGCCTTAGAGCTGAGGAAAGCTACTAAGGACGGTATAAGCTACAAAGGACTGTATTTGCTAAAGAAGGCAGCTTCTCATGAAAGTGCATGAAATGTTGCCATACTACGCCGCGGCATTGCCATGCACTGCCACAATATGTGTATATATATATTGCCTGGCAGTCATGCTTGTCAACTATATTGAATACTTAGTCACTAACCTTGAAAATGTCTATGCTTTTTCTGGGGGGTCATTGACATAGAAACATTAAAGACAATAGATCAGTATGAGGGCCAGGGAACTTGCATTTTTAGAAGAGGTCAGAAATGGCTAATTCCATACTTCTCTCAGTACATGTTTCCTTTAAGCCCCAACTCTAGCCAATACATATTTCCTATCCTTTAATAGAGTGGATATCGATTATAACTTCAACTTGGTTGTTAATGATATTCTCCTAGTGCAGTGAATTCTCAACTTCTATATGACAGGTATCAGACATATGATGGGATATCTGCCCAGCAAGGACACAGACTGCAAAAAAAACAAAACGTTTCTAGTACAGGGGGAAAGTATTAGGGCCTCTGTCAGGTTTTTTTTGTTTACCAAAGCAGGAATAGCAAGCACTCCTGAAACAGTATCAGGGTTATTCACGAAAGGGTGAAGAGATGAAGAGTTTGGAGAAGGCAGGAGAAGTGAACAATCTGGGACAAAATAGCTGATTGGAAAACGGTCTCCAATTCAGCTCACTTTCCAGTTCAGCTATGTTGTCCTCGAATGTACACTTCTCCCGCCTTCTCCAAACTCTTCACCCTTTTGCGAATAACCCTGTATATACTTAAAGGAGAGGTGTTAGTAGCATATAGTTGCAGCAAATCTATGTTGAAGCCATACTGCACCGTCAAGGCCCATCTGTATAGTAATCTAACAAAGCTTCCAACCTGGGACACAGAGTACACAGCAATAAACAGGTTAAAGGCAGGTATGCCTGGAGGTTTAAGCTGCAGAGACATACCAGAAGCCCAACACAGCACACAGGCAGCTGAAAACCTCCAGCATGTCCCAGTAATCTATAACTAGCTTTTTAGAGCAAGGTGCATGTTTCCAGCACACTTATGAGCCAGTCAACAAACAAATTCAACACTGTGTCTAAGTGTCCCAGGAAAGGGTAGCATAAATATCTTGGCGGTGTTGGCACATAGATTTGTTGCAAATATATCCTACTTTTGCTTTAAATACATTGGGGGGAAGTTATAAAAGTGGTTGGTTGCAAAGACCAACATGTCATGCTAACTAACCTCAAAGTTTTATCTCTGTTATCTTTTTTTTTTCTTGCGATATATATTTATGTTTGTTACTCACTGCACTTATTTTCCGACATTTTGTATAATTTCTCCACTGCGTGGTGTTTACATGCAGTACTTGTGACAGTAAAAGACCCCCAAACTATTGCACATCCTAGAAGTGCTCCTGTACACTTTTTAAAGTATTGCATGTAATTCAGTTTCATACCCTTAAGTTGGCTTACTTTGGGACTATATAGCTATCATCCAAGAGGTTTTCTAGCAAGCTTGCGACAATTTAGAGACAGAGAAAATTTAGACACAATTTGGAGACATATATCCTTATGAAGACATTTAGGAATGAAACCTAAACTAGCATAATACATCTGTCACTATATGCACTAGAAGTCAGGGATACAACAGTTTAAAAGACACTGATGATGCAACCAAATTGATAAAGGAGTTTAAGGAGTGCTGACTATTTCTGCTTTAGATTTATACCACCGTTGGCCATGCACCCTAATACTCTGATTTTGAATGATAGTGCAGTACAGGATTTCAGATGTTAGGTTTTTATTACTGTCTGCACTCCCACTCTCCACACTTTCTGTCCTGGTGATGAGTGTCAGACAGAAAAAGATGCCTGGGGAAACCTCCTGAACAGAGACAAAGGTGGCATTTAGAACCTGACCCAGGTACTAAACGTTCCCCACTCCAAAAGTGTCCAGTTATGGGTTATAATGCAACCTCACAAACTGACATTTGACTTTTCAAATAACTGCTTCTTTTGTAAATGTAATAGATTGGAAAGGATAAAACAAAAATGTAACATGTACAGACATTTTGACACTCTATGAGTTGGTATTTTGTAACACCCCCTCTGGCAGAAACCATAACTTCCAACTGTTTCTTGTAGTTTCTTGTGTTCTTTAGGAGTTTTCCACTATTTATTGTCAGATGCTTGTAGTTCAGGTATATTCTTATGTTGTCATGTATACACTGCATGCTTGATGTCTCCTCACACATTTTCAATAATGTTTGAATTTAAAAAAACCCTCTTTCTGCTTGTTCTGGCCTTAAGCACTTATTTATAACTACACGTGTTTTTGGTTTAAATCACAAGTTTTTAGAAATATATTTTAAAGAGCATTATATGCAAAATATTTCACCTGTCAAATATTGCTATGGCCGTATACACTTATTTAAACACACATAAGTGCTTTTTGATTAAATTATTTGGTTTTTTTTTTTTTAATTTTTTTATTAATCTGTTTTGTTTTGCGTTTTTTTTTCTTCTCTCTCCTTTTTGAAGAGATTAATATTACTATTATAATGAGGTGAGAAACGGATAGTGGATATTAAACACAGAGTAAATATAAATTATATCACTATATAAAGGTAAAGGTTTTTTAAGTTTCTGGAGAGAATGATCAAATAATCAGGATTGAAGAATTGGACGGGGCTATAAAGTCCCTTAGTGCTTTTTATGCAATGCTGTATAGGTTTTTTTTTTATTGTTTTTTTTTCTTTTCTCTTTTGTATGTTTGTTGTTTACGTTGGAAATAATATATTTATATTGAAACAAAAACTTCCTTCTTGATTCATGACATTTTGGATCATTGCCTCCTTAGCAACATTTACATATCATTTTATAGCCTTCCCCTGCTTTGTAAGCATGAGTTATATTTATTGTTACACTGGTACTGAGCTGATTAACTGTTGAGTGTATACCCTGAAAGGTTCCATGTGTTTGAAAGAAAGAGGAGGTTCACACTTACAGCTATAATTATTGAACTATTCTGCTTCTTAAAAACAGTTTTTTCTCCTACTCCAGCCAGTCCCCAAACGTCTGTCAACTCCTGCCTGTTTGTGGATGTCTCCTTTAGCTAGCTGGCTGCTGAAGGGACCCCATGTACATGCTTTCTTAGCTGGAACCTGTGCCTAGCTGTCTGTCTCCATAGACACACACAGCACCTGGCAAGCAATGCCACTGCTACTTTCACTGCTCTCCTCCTGACGGCAGCAGGTGTCTATCTCTTCACTGCCCTCAGTACCCTCCACAACCTGGAAGTTCAGGAAACAGCGCAGATCTTCCTGGATCTGGTGGCAGTAACAAGGGGCCATTGGTAAGTGTTTGGGGATGGGGGGCATGGAAAGGTACTGGGCATTTTACCTTAAAGAAGAACTCTGGGAAGAACTGGGAATCTCCACTGCTAGGGTTAACTGGTCATTTTTGTCTAGGTGCTTAAAAAAAAGGTAAACTTACCCAAATCGCTGAGCTGGCTCCTTGCTTCTCCACTTACTGAAGCCTCTCTCCTCCTCCTACGCTGCCGAAATGTCCACACAATGTGTATAGAATGTGATGATTTACAGGACCTTAGACCACTGGAGCGGAAGGACTGGTCTAAGAACAAGACAGCTGTGAGGTTCAGGTGAGTATAACTTTTAGTTTTTAGCACCAAGGCCAAAATGAGCAGTTAACCCTTGCAGTGTAGGGATAGCCCCACTGCAAGGGTTAACAAAAGTTTTGCATGGAGTTCTTTTTTAATGTAAAGAATGCATTAAGGTAAAAAAAAACAAATTCTTATCACTTAGTACTGCTTTAAGTTTGGGAATCTAAAAAAACATCACACTAATTGATCAACTGTAAAGACGGCCAAACCTTTGCACATGCCAGTTTTCTGCCTTATTTAGTAAACAGTTCTTACATCTTGCTTCTAAAGTGCACAAACCATGGTAATACGTATTAATGGATAGCTTTTCTACATTGAATAAATCA